GCTCCCTCCCAGCACCATGTCTGCCTGCATGCCATCATGTTCCACCATGATGATAATGGCATAACCTCTGAAACCATAAGCCACCAATTAAGTGTTTTCCTTAGAAGAGTTGTCCTGGGCATGGTGTCTCTTCACAGCAGTAGAATTCTAAGACACCCCGTCTCAGGAAAAAAAGCCATGTGGCATCGACCTTTCACCTGCTGACTGTTATACTCTACTTGTGTGCCTGGTGTCCAGTGTTCAGAAGAGGGCATCAGATCTCCTGGGACTGGATATGTGAGTGGCTATGTGTGCTGGGAATGGAACCCCGAGTTCTCTGCAACAGCAGCCAGTGCAGGCTGGAGAGATGGCTCAGTGGTTAAGAGCACTGGTTACTCTTCAAGAGACCCTGAGTTCAATTCCCAGCAACCACATGGTGGCTCACAACCATCTGTAATGAGATCTGGTGCCCTCTTCTGGCCTGCAGACATACATGGAGACAGAATACTGTATACATAATAGATAAATAAATTTTTTAAAAAAAAAGAGCAGCCAGTGCTTTTAACTACCCAGCCACCCTCCAACCCATATGTTGTTTTTTATTTGTTTGTTTCGATTTGTTGTTTTTCCAGACTCTCTGTAGATCAGGCAGTCTCTGCGTAGCCCTGGCTGTCCTGGAACACTCTCTGTAGATCAGGCTGGCCTTGAATTCAAGAGGTTCACCTGCCCGTGTTAGGATTAAAGGCATTTGCCACCACAGTCCGGCTCCATGTGTTTTTTAATGATTTTTTAGGCTTATATTTATGTGTATGGGCATGTATATGCCTCCATGTACGTATATGTACCATGTACATACCTGGTGCTCAGTGTCCAGAGGCCAGGACAGTGTATTGGATGGATCCCCTGGAACTGGATTAGATCGTTGTGAGTCAGCAGGTAGGTGCTGAGAACCAAACTTGGGTCCTCTGCTAGAGCAGCAAGGTACTTTATTTGAGAGAGAGTCTCTCACATGGTCCTGGCTGCCCTAGAACTCTGTTACCAGACTGGCCTTGAACTCACAGAGGTCTTTTGCCTTGGCCTCCTGAGTGCTGGGATCAAAAGCCTGCCCCCACCATACCTGCCAGGCTTTAACTGCTTTTCCTAGATGTTCTAGTCCCCAGCCGACTTCCTTTTACATCTTGCTGACTATAACTGGGTTGCAGTTATTCCAAGTTAGAGAGGGGGCTGGGAAAGTATTATATTAATCCCTTAGGGCTCATTCACTGCCACCAGGAATGCTGGAGTGTGTAGGGAACAGGGGGAAAGGCTGGCAGGTGACAGAGCTGCCACACCCACCTAACAACTGCCCATCGTTTGGTCCAATAAAGCCATGTTCCAAGAGGGGAATAGCTTGTACCCGCCACTGTCAAAAGTACATCGTTTGAGGGCTGGCTGGGGCTGAGGCTCAGTGGTAGAACATTTGCTTGGCATGTGAAGCCCTGGGTTTGTACCCAACCCCACACATACACAAGAGTAAAAGCTGCTGGGCACGGGAACATGTGCTTGTAATTCCAGAACTCTGGGAGCAGAGGTGGGGGACTGTTTAAGGCGAGCCTGGGCCATGTAGCAAGATGTTTCGAAACTGCTGGGGAGACAGCTGAGTTTGGGCCCGCACACAGGAGGCAGAGACAGACAGATCTCAGTGAATTTGAGGGGTCAGCCTGGTCTACATAGCAAGTGCAAGGCCAGCCAAGGACACATAGGAAGATCCTATCTTAAAAAAACAAGAGTGGGGGGCTGGAGAGACGTCTCAGTGGTTAAGAACTTTGACTGTTCTTCTAGAGGACCCTGGTTCGATTCCCAGCAACCACATGGCAGCTCACAACTGTCTAAAAATCCAGTTCCAGGGGATCTGACATCTTCACACCAATTCACATAAAATAAAGTTAGATAAATCATAAAAAAATATTCTTTAATTAAAAAAAATCCAGAAGTGGAGGCCAGCAGAATGTCTCAGTGGGCAAAGACTGACTACCTAATTCCTAGACCCACGAGGTAGGAGAAAACCAATTCCTCCAAGCTGCCATCTGTCCTCCACATATACACAGTGACATGCATGCACATGCACACACACACACACACACACACACACACACTAAATCATTGTAATAAAATGAAAAGCAAAGCATAGATGGACAGTTTGAGGAAGACTTGAGGTTGACCTCTGGCCTACACACACACACACACACACACACACACACACGCAAGCATACCTCCAACACATGAACGCATATGAATAGCACACACATAGAGATAAGAAACCACAAACCGGGTCCAGTGACATAGGCCTGTAGTCTCAGCTTGGGGAGCTGAGGCAGGAGGATCACAAGTTCAAGGCTAGTATGAGCAACTTGGTGAGGCTGCCACCCTCAATTTTTTTTATTTTTTTATTTTATTAAATATTTATTCGTTTATTATGCATACAATATCTGCCTACATGTGTGCCTGCAGGCCAGAGAGGGCACCAGATCTCATTACAGATGGTTGTGAGCCACCATATGGTTGCTGGGAATTGAACTCAAGACCTTTGGAAGAGCAGGCAATGCTCTTAACCACTGAGCCATCTCTCCAGCCCCCCCTCAATTTTTTTAAATTTTGAACTAAGGCTATAACTCAGTGGTAGAGCTAGCATGCATAAGGTCCTAGCTACAGAAACAAAGTGGTTTTGAGAAATAGCAAGTGTATTTTAATTCCACAACAGATGATTCTTCAAATCCTTTTAAAAACAAAGACAGTAGGTTTTTTTTTAGATTTATTTTACTTTGTGTACATATGTTTCGCTGTATGCTGATGTGTGCACCACATACATGCCCATTGGAGCTCGTGGAACTGAGGTTACAAGGGGTTGGAAGCTGTCGTGTGGGTGCTGGGAACCAAACCTGGGTTCTCTGCTAAAGCAGCCAGTGCTTTTAACAAGTTTCAGCCTCATGACTAAGGGCAGCTGTGTACCGTGTTGTCTCAAAGCTGCTGAGATCTGGTATTCTTCCTTTGCATAGCCTTGGGAAAAGAGGAAGAGCCTTCCGGAGCAGAAGCTGTGTCAAGTCTTCTGGGCTTCTGGAAATATAATCACTTAAAAGTGGTGGCGCACGCCTTTTATCCCGAGCACTGGGGAGGCAGAGGCAGGAGGCTCCCTGTGAGTTCGAGGCCAGCCTGGTCTACAAAACTAATTCCAGGACAGCCAGGATTACACAGAGAAACCCAGACTCAGAAAACAACAACAAAAACCAAACAAACAAAAGAGCATCTTTTGAAATCATATATAACAAATCTGCTGGTTATATTTTCTAAATCCTGCTAGAACAGCAGGCCTTGGGCTTTATGTGCCCTGCATCTCATAATTACATAAGAAACTAAAGTTTTAAGTTTCTCCACCTAGTGTCTCTAGGTTCTTCCCCCTCCAAGATGCTGAAGTGAAGTCAAAGGTGGTCGACACACCTATAATCCCGGCACTCAGAAGAGTGAGGCAGGAGAATTGCCACATGTTCCAGGCCAGCCAGGATTAAACTACATAGCAAGATTAAACTTTGTTTTAAATTCTGGAGTGAGGGGTCTGGACCTTTCGGTAGGTGTAGCTGAGCGCACACAGGCTGATAAAAACACGCCAGCTCTGTTCAGACGGTGTGGAGTTTACACCCAGTCTTAGATAGTAGTGCACACCTGTGGTCCCAGCACTTGGGAGGAGGACTGCAGTTCAAGGTCATCCTTGGCAGCCTGGGACACCTGGGGTGCAGGAGACCCTGCTTCAGCGAAGGAAAAGACAACTCCTGAAAGGTGAGTAGTTCCAGGTAAGAGTGACTTCTCAGCTCTCAGACGGCCCTGAAGCCATTTGGAGGTGACTGCTGTCCTTGACTCTATGACCTTGTGCTCTGACGGGACTTCCAAGTTCATGAATGGCAGATGGCAGTGATGAGCAGATTAGTCCCAGTCCCCCCACCACCTTCTGATACCTCACACAAGAGCCTTTCCATCTCTTGGCTGGGACCAATTCTCTTGGTTACTGCAGTGTCATAGGTTTTAACCATTAAGTAAACATATCTTTCCAAATTGAATGAAAGCTTTTGACAGTTGGAGAGACGCCATGGATAGGCTGGAGTTCCTATCCGTAGGGAAAAGGCCACTGTTGCTTTGAGCCTAACGTTTAATAGAAGATACCGTGGATTGGCAGAGGCGGTGCGGAACTCCATAGCAGATTAGTTCTACAGTGCGCTTATAGCCTCTGCCCTTTGTCAAAAACCCAGTCCTGCTGTCTGGAGTCCTTTCTGCCCATCTGAACATCATTGCTTGGTAATAATCACCACCTCCAGACCGATTTCTAATGACTCGGAGGTGGATAAGGCCTAAGTGTTCCCAGTTCACACAAAGTGGATCAGACTGATTCACTTATCTTTTCGAGAGTGGGTTGAGTAAGGTGGGGGTGACGCCGTACGTTTTCCACACGTGTCTACCTTCACACCCACGTGTTTTCTCCCTGGTGGCCCATGGCAGACACAGAAGACCTTATGCTCAGTTCGGCAGCACGGACTAACTTAGAGCAATAAGAGAGATTAGCATGGCCCTGGTCAAAGACGGCACGCGAGGGGCTGGAGAGATGGCTCAGAGGTTAAGAGCATTGCCTGCTCTTCCAAAGGTCCTGAGTTCAATTCCCAGCAACCACATGGTGGCTCACAACCATCTGTAATGAGGTCTGGTGCCCTCTTCTGGCCTGCAGGCATACACACAGACAGAATATTGTATACATAATAAATAAACAAACAAATAAATAAATATTTTAAAAAAAAAGACGGGGGGGCTGGAGAGATGGCTCAGCGTTTAAGAGCATTGCCTGCTCTTCCGAAGGTCCTGAGTTCAATTCCCAGCAACCACATGGTGGCTCACAACCATCTGTAATGAGCTCTGGTGTCCTCTTCTGGCCTTTAGGCATACACACAGAAAGAATAAATAAATAAAATATTTAAAAAAAAAAAAGACGGCACGCGAGTTGGTGAAGCTGTTTTTCTGTATAGTTTTTATTACGTAAAAAAAAAAAAAAAAAAGAGAGCTTCCCAAAAGCTGTATCTGGCATGATCTTGTGCCACTGCTGGTGCTGCCAGTGGCCAGGCACAGGTCGTGAGGCCCTGAGGAGGTGGGAGGCAGAACAGGGTGCAGGCAGAGCAGGAAATAGCCAGCTTGGGTCCCTGCCCCAGGAGCCCGAAGGATAAAGGCCGTGCAGCGGAGGCTTATATATGATCGTCTTTGGTCAGGCAAAGACCCTGATACGGGCCCAGAAGGCAAAGGGGCTCAGGTTCAGCCCTGGAGCCCGAGCTGTAGGCTCACCACACTGAGGCAAGAGGCAAGGCAAGAAGACAGAGCAATGTCGGGCGTCACCAGCGCCTAGGAACCACCCTTGTCTTTCTCGTCCATCAGGTCATACCTAGGGAAACAAGGACAGAGCTCAGGCAGATGAGGACTCCTGCATCTCTTCTGCCTTCTAAGACAGAGTCTCATTCTGTCTGCACCCCAGGCTGGAACTTGCCGTGGAGTCAGGCTGTTCTTGAACCCACAATTCTCCAGCTCCCCCACAGGCTGGGACCACAGCCACGAGCCACCGGGCCCAGTTGTCATCTCTCATAAAGTGAAAGACATGCCTAGGGCTTCTGGGCTTAATGGGATCAATGGTTCTCAGCTTCCTCTGCGTCCTTTTCTTCCTCTGACTGGGATTTCTCCACGGTGCCTACCCAGTCCCACCCGCTCCTATGCGGACACTCACCATTGGGCTGCACCCTGGGAGAGGTCTATCTCAGCTAGATCCAGCTGCACCTGCGTGGAAGATGGCAGGGCTGAGATGGTATTTTGGTATTTAAAGAACACACCCATCATCACATCCTATCTCAAACCACTTTCCCAAGGCACCCTGGTGGTCTCCTTAACCGGAAGCTAGGTTCCAGCAGCGGCACCATCCCGCCTCCTCCTCACCCTCTTACCTTTCCCAGAAGCTCACGCTCTCTTGACATGAAGGAGGAGTTTGACTTCACAGACACATCTAGTTTTCGCCTGAGAGACCCATCCAGGGGCAGCTCCCACTCAAACCTGGAAAGGCACGGGATTAGAGCGCGAGGCCCACGTGAAGCCTTCCGCCTCCCCGTGGGAAGGGCCGTTCACTGACCGCTCGTTGAACTCCGGGTCCAGGGTCTTTTTCTTCTGTGAGGTCTTCCTCTTGGTGCCTCGGTTCTTGTCTGGGAGTAGCAACAGCGACACATAAGGATCTGGGAGATCACGGCCATTTTGTCGAAGGGACCTAGGACAGAAGGGTGCGGGGGGCATTGCAGCGCTCGCTCGCGCCGCAGGACTGCAGCGGCCCGAGAGGACGGGTGGCAGGGTCTCACCGGCAGCTGTGGATGATGCTGACCAGCTTCTGTTCATCACTGTGGTACCACACCGTCAGCTTCACCTGGCCCAGAGGCCCAATAGGAGCCTCAGAGGGGCTGTGGAAAGACGAAGAACATGGCGTCTAGGAAAGCCTTGGAAAAAAAATCATATTTTTGCCGGCAAATCGTCTCCATCCCAGTCCCTTACCTGTCACCGTGTGGCAGGCGATGCCGGACCTCCAGCACTGGGGTGGAGATGTGAGCGGCTGCCCCTGAGGCCTTGGGTTCCTCATTGAGAGAGGAGGAGCTGTGGCTGTGGGCTTCCACTCCTGAGTGTTGGGACACTAGGATCTGGGGGCAGGAGAGCCGTAAGCTGGGCAGGGTCCTCACTAGAAGGACACCACCTCTGCTCCCACCGCTTCGGACTTCAGCCCTGAGCCCTCCCACATCGTGCGCCTGCCTCCCTTACTGTACTCACCCCTAGCTGTGCTCGCATTAGCACTTGGCCCTGACCGTTACTGAGTGCGAACCATTTGTCCAAGCAGAGTCGGTCTGCCTGGAGGAGCTCGGAGAGAGGCAGGGATAGGGAGCCCAGGGTGCCAGTCCCTTCACCCCGAACCTGTGGGGCAAATTTACTGATCAATTATTGAAGCTTGGCATTTATGAACCAAACACTTGGGTGGTTTGGTGAGAGAGTTTCCTTTTGGAGGAACAGAATACACATTACAGCCGCTAGCCCCTCCGTCCCTTACCCCTGAGAACAGGTATCATCCAGGCTGCCTTCGGTTACTGAGATGGCCTACCTCAGCCTCTCCAGGGCTGGGATTACAGGCGTGAGCCGCCATGCCTAGCTTTCCTTAGATTCTACTTTCTACTTTGTAAGCATTCACAGGCTTACCAGCAGGACCACCAGAGTGGAAAAAGAACAGCAAAAACTAAAAGTTAATTGCCAGGCATGGTGGCGCACACCTTTAATCCTAGCAATCAGGAGGCAGAAGCAGGTAGATCTCTGAGTTTGAGGACAACCTGGTCTACATAGCAAGTCCCAGGACAGCCAGGGCTACATAGTCTCACTAGGAGAAAGCAAATGATGAGTGTCTGGGCATGGAGCTCAGTCGGCGAACTGCTTGCCTAGCATGCTTGAAGCTCTGAGTTCAGTCCCCAGCTCCACATAAATCTGGGTGTGAGGGTGCATGCCTATCATTCCAGCACTCGGGGTGGCGTCAGGAGGGCCAGAATCTGAGAGTCATCCTAGGCAACAGGCCAAGTTTGGAGCCAGCTTGGACTCCATGTCTCCAAGAAAGAAAAGAAAATTTTGCCTACCATACTTTCTATATTTCACATCTAACTTTTTTGGAAGGAGGAAGGGGTTAAGATAGGGCTTCTCTGTGTAGCCCCGGCTATCCTGGAACTCACTGTGTAGACCAGGCTGGCCTCAAACTCACAGAGATCTGCCTGCCTCTGCCTCCCAAGTGCTGGGATTGAAGGCCTGTGCCACCACCGCCTGGCTATATCTCTTTGTATTTCCTGGCTTTTTAATATTAGTGTGTGCACAGATTCACAAATGTCATGATACTTGAGGTCAGAGGTCCACCCTTAGAAATGGGTTCCAAAGATCACACCCTGGTGTCAGGCTTGCAGGCATGCGCCTTTACGTGCCGAGGCATGTCTCCCGTCCTCTCATTTGCTAACTTTACAGACAGTGTATATTCTGTTAGGGAAGGCAAGAAGAACTGACACACACCTTTTATTTGTCTCATTATTGGTTATGTTTTTCCAAACAGGGTTTCTCTGTATAGCCTTGACTATCCTGGAACTCGCTCTGTAGACCAGGCTGACCTCGAACTCAGAGATCTGCCTGCCTCTGCCTCCCGAGTACTGGGATTAAAAGCATGCACCACCACTGCCTGGCTCATAATTTTAAAATTGTCTTTATTCTACCTCTTGGAAACTTTAGGTCTCTTCCAGTCTTTTGAAACTATCTTGGTTTCTGCAATCTGCTCTTTCATGGTATTCTTGCTATAATTTAGGTCCCTTTCTTGCTATAATTTAGGTCCCTTGAAAATTCTTCTGTGATCTGTCTTTTGAGTTGTGAGGGTGCCCAGCATATCGGCTGTCTTTTTCACTTGGCATACTCCCTGCGCACTCTTGCCATGGTTGCAGGCCCAGAGGCAGGCTCTTGCTCCCACAAGAGGGAAAGCAGTCGACACCACACAGGTCTACCTTCTGGGTGGCTCTTCAGAGATTTCCCTTGAAGACTGCAAATTCAAATAATCCCTTGCTCTGCGATCAGCGTCACCTTTGTCTCAAACCCAGGTGGTTTCCATCTAGATTGTTCTTTGTTCCTACCTTCCTCTCAAAACAAGCAAAAACAGCAGAAGGATGTCTCGTGCCAGCAGGCAACTCCAGCAGTCAAGGGGTTGGGACAGGAAGACTGTCAGAAGTAGAGGCTACAGATGCTGTCTCAAAAAGTCAACAAAAACACCCAGAAGTTTTTAAACAAGCAAACAAACAAAATAGCCTGGCTCTGGGCAGTGGTGGCGCACACACGCCTTTAATCCCAGCACCGAGGAGGCAGAGGCAGGCGGATCTGTATGAGTTTGAGGCCAGCCTGGTCTACAAAGCTAGTTCAAGGACTGGCTCCCTAGCTACTGAGAAACCCTGCCTCGACAAACGAACAAACAAACAAGACAAACAAACAAAAAGTCAGGCATGATACCACGTATCTTTAATCCCAGCCCTTGGGAGACAGATCTCTGTGAGCTCTAGGTCAGTCAGAGTTATGTAATAAAAACGTATTTTTGTTTTGTTGGGGGGGGGGTAATGATGGGGCTAGGAGGTGACCCAGTGAGGGCAGAGAGAACCTGAGTTCAAACCCCATAGCCCAACCCAAGTGACCAATGGCAGTGTCCTCATGAGGAGATAGAAGCCACGGGAGCTCTGCTAGCTAGCCTTGGTGGACACAGACCAAAAAACAAAACAAAACAAAGAGACCCTGTCTAAAGCGAGGCAGAAGTCAAGTCATGTCATCCACGGGTGTCCTCTCCCATAGATCAGCACTCACATGTGTGTGCACACTCAACAAGAAACCAAACTATTTCTAGCAGACCTTTGTCCTAACGTAATCACTCCGATGTCTCCCCTCACTTGAGGCGGGGTCTCATTATGTGGCTCTCGCCGACCTCAGTCTTAGGATCCCCCTCAGTGTCCTGCAAGCTTGTGCCACCACGTACACAGACCAACTCGTTCCTTAAGTGGGCAGCCACCCCACTGCTGACCCTGTAATCGGTCATGACCATCCTAACTGCAAGTCCGAAATGGTCACACCTTCAAATAAGACCCTTGAGCTTTTAGTATAAAGTACAAAGACCTTTCTTCTGAGACAGGGTCTCATGAGGCCTAGCTGGCCTTGAACTTACGATGCAGTGGGCCTAGATTTTCTGACCTTCCGGCCTCCATCTCCCACGTGCAGAATCACAAGTCTGCACCAACCACACCCAGGCCAAATTCTTTTTTCAGCGCATCGCATCCCAAATCCAAATCCTTAGCATGATATGGAGAACTCTCTATTACGAGTCTCTCTATAATAAATTTTTCTACTATTTTTTTCCTCACCCTAAAAGGCATTCCTGTTCTATTTTTAAATGTTTGGTTTTATTTTATGCATATATGTATGTGTGTGTGAGAGAGTACATGCACAATGTATATAGACGTCAGATCCTGGTTTATGGAAGCTGCCCAGTGTGGGCGCTGAGAGCCACCACTGGCCTTGCTGGGCTGGCTGGTTAGGACCTATCTTCCCTTAAGTTCAGAAGTCTCCCAAGGATGCTTTTCTCTGCCCCACACCTCTCCTTTTCTCTCCCCACCTTCTGCCTTTACACTTAGTCACATTGCTTTCTTTCTTTTCTTCTTTGGTTTTTTTGAGGCTGGGTTTCTCTGTGTAACATTCTTGGCTGTCCTGAAACTCTCTGTAGACCAGGCTAGCCTCAAACTCACAGAGATCCACCTGCCCACGTCTGCCTCCCACGTGCTCGGATTATGGCATGTGCCACCACCGCCCGGCCTCAGTTACACCGCTGTCTGTATTCTCTGGTTACTGCCCTCCTATAGTGGAGTGACTCCCAAGGATAAGAACTCAGGCTTGCTTCCTCTCTCACCTGTTTTTTGTTTTTGTTTTATAATTTATTTATTTTACATGCATTGGTATTTTGCTTGCATGTATACCTGGGTGAGGATGTCAGATCTTGGAGTTATAGACAGCTGTGAGTCACCATGTAGGTGCTGGGATTTGAACCTAGATCCTCTGGAAGAACAGCCAGTGCTCTTAACCACCGAGCCATCTTTCCAGCCCCTTTGTTTTTTTGAAACAGGATCTTACTAGCCCAGACTGGCTTATGAACTCAGGGCAATCCTCCTGCTTCAGATCCCCAAGCAACATGATTACAGGTGTTTGCCACCAAGAGTTTTCCTGTGGTCTGTGGCTGGAGCCGCAGGACCTCCGCAATGAGTCCCTGCAGTGAGTTCCCCTTACCTGAAGCTCCAGGCTCTCCGCATGTGGCTTCCTGATGAGAAAGGAGGTGTTCTCCTCCCAGATGGGGGCTGCCGTCTGGGAAACAGTCTGTTGGAGATGAGGAGTTGGTCAGTGGGGGGAACTGTCTTCTAGCCTCTTCCTCCTACCCTTAGCAGTAAAGGATCCCCGTTACAAGGCATCTTCTCCTACCTTGGTTTTATGGGAAGTCTCTCCCACAGTGAGAGTAGCGTAAGAGTTGGGGGGCTTGGTGCCTTTTCGGAGCTGGAAGGACAGTATCAGTCATAAGTTCACAAACTCACGCCCTGGCCACCTCGCCATCTGCACTTCCCAGCCCCCACCTCATGGCTTTGGATAATCTCATCCCAGCACCATCCTCCGGTGGGACCACTTGCTCTTCCAACTCTATAAGGTGCACTCACACCCAAGGGAGCCCGAAGAGGGGCCACGAAGGCCATGGGGAGCCGCTCTTACCGGCAGATTATCTGCCCGTTCCAAGTAGACAGAGAGCAGGGCCGCTGCCAGCTCTGAGCTCTTCTGAGTCTGGATCAGACTGTTGACCTGCAGCACCTGGGACACAGAGTGGGCTGTGGGTGGGAGCTGACGGAGGGCTCACCCCGCTCCACCTGGTCTCCAGCCCGTTCCCCTCACCTCTTCTAACTCAGCAGCAGTAGGCCTAGGGGTCAGACGTTCCAGGCGCAAGTGCAGCCGGCCAGATGGGACATCCTCCAGGGTCAGCCACTGTGGAGATAGGCAGGGAGGGTGGCGAGGATGAGATGGTTGCCATGGTGACGAGGCGGCGGCGGCGTGGGTCTCATCTCATGCTCACCTCATCAAGGAAGCCGCTGTTGAGGACTGTGGTGAGACTCATTTTATACCTGCAGGGAATGGAGACAAGGGGCTGGGGTCAATACCACGGCCCACGCGGCCAACATTATCTGTCCACCGGAACTCCCGACTCCTACCTGCCCAAAAAGTCATCCTTGTCCAAGTCCTTATCAAAGACCTCAATCTCAAGCTCTTGGCCTGGAATCGAGGTGACAATCACCTACCAGGAGAAAACAGTGCAGATGAAAGGGATTTCTCTCCTTTTCCTCTCTGCCCATCCCCCACCCTCTGACCACGGAGGACTGGCAGCCACTTGTGGGGCAGACAGGAGTCCCGGTCACTCGGTTCTGACCTCGAAAACCTCGTTCCAGCGGGGATTGAGATCCTCCCGAACAACATGGCTCCGGAAGCTTTGTCCCGCCACCCTCAGTTTGACATAGGGGTCTGATTTGCCCTTCACCAATCCCCCCAGGAAACGGTCTTTGGCAATTAGGTCCTGAGCCTCTAATACATGGATCCGAAGAACATTCTGCAGGAGGGACAGACGGGGCAAGACCTCAGAACCCACCCTAGAACAGGCTTGGCACTGTGTGGGCGAATACAAACTTCTCGTTTCCGGGGACCGCTTACCTCAGTCCCAAAGTGGCTGTTAGGAGATGTCTGACAGGGCCGAGGCGGGACATCTACGCTGCTGCCCATCTGGGGGTTGTCACTGTCCAGGTCCTGGGCGCCGGGCACAGTGGGGAAGCAGATTTCTGATGAATCCAAGTATAAGATCTGCGAAAGACAGCGTGATGGCGGATAAGTCACAGCGCAGGCTGGGGGACGGAGCAGGGGCTCTAGGGATCAGCAGTGTTTGATGTGCCTCGGACCGGCTACAGGGGCTAGACCTTTTGACCGGAATGGGCTCCCTTCCATGTTCTGAATACCAAGGAATCCCCAGGCCTCCCCAGCACCCGCACATCCTCCATCACCTCCTCCATCACCGTACCCGCATGACCAGCTTCATGTAGAGCCTGGAGTTTGGGCCTGAGCTGCCGAGCTGGAACCACTGGTCCAGGGTGAGTTCCGAGGCCGTCAACAGGCGAGCCAGAGGGAGAGTCAGTGCCCCTAATGTCAGGGCCCTAGAGTCATCCTTCACCTATAGGCACAGGATGAGTGAGGTGAAGGCATAGTGAGGAAACCAGCATGACTCCAGCTCATCTCCCTGCACCCCGTCCCCCCAGACAGTTACACACGACTCCAGCTCATCTCCCCGCACCCCAATCCCCCCAGACAGTCACACATGACTCCAGTTGATCTCCCCGCACCCCACTCCCCCAGACAGTCACACATGACTTCAGCTGATCTCCCTGCACCCCGCTCCCCCTAAACAGTCACAAACCTTTTGCTCACTCATGACCAGAGTTTCCCATCTTTTTCTATACCACCATCTCTTCTACCTTTGCTCATTGTTTCCCTGCGAACATTGTCATTCTCTCCTGCCTATCTCAACCCTACTTATCTATGCTTTAGGCTCCGTTGAGATCTTTGTTCCTTCACAAACTCTGTAACTGTTTGGGAAAAACAAAACTGTTGTGTGTGAGGGCACAACTTATGGAAGGTGCCCATGCATGTGTGTGCAGGTCAGAGGACAATGGTGCAGTCGGGTCTCTTCCGCCTCTCTGTATATTCTGTGGCTTGTTCCCCAGTCACCAGGCAGGACTTGACCCTCTGAACAGCTCTGCCAGCCCCCATTTCCAGTCCCACCTGCCTCAGCCTCCATGTCTTCTCTCACCATCTTCAAAGGCTGTATGTATGGTCTTTGTTTGCATTAGGTGTTTCCTCTAGGAAACCGACCAGTGAGCACAGAAGCCATGATACTGGCTATGATCTTTAAAATGTTCATTTTATTGGGGCACAATCTGCGCACCATAAAAGTCACTCATTTCAAGCACAGAGTTAGCACTTACAAAATGGAACTCTAGGACTGGTGTGGTAGCACACACCTTTAAGCACTCAGGCAGAGAGGCAGGTGAATTTCTCTGAGTTTGAGGCCAGCCTGGCCTATATATACAGTGAAACCCTGTCAAAAACAGAACTGGCTGTGGCAACCCACGCCTTCGATTTCAGCACTTGGGAGGAAGAGGCAGCAGATCTCTGTGACAAGCAGGGCTATGTAGAGAGACCCTGTCTCAAAACAAGAGCCCTAATCTAATGCCTAGAACAAACGGGGCCCTGAATTAATCCCCAGTATCTTACACACACACACACACACACACACACACACACACACACACACACACAAAACATAAGGAACAAAATGTACCAATAAAGTTTGGGGAGATAGGAAGAATGAGGTGGCTCTCACCTGAACATCAAGCTCCTGGCTCCGAGGGTCTTGCAGGAAAAATCGGAACGCTTCTTCCCATACCGGGCAGTTGGTGCCGTAGGTAGCCTGAGAGGCGATGATGGTGTGAGGACACGTACCCAACACCACTCCTGTTTGGCTGACACTCACTTGCAAGCATCCTGCGGAGAAGCCTGTGCTCCCTTACCTTGCTCTCCTGGGTCACATCCTGAACTGACAGTTGCACCATGGGGTTGGGTTCCTTGTTTCCTTTCTTCAGCTGTGTTGGGGGGGGGGGAGCGGACGACAGAATTTAGAAGTCATCTTTTGAGGGTTGGATGTTGGGTTTTGATGAACGAAGGTGGGGTTAGCAGACTCTCTCCTTCCAGGTAGACCTGACCCCTCCCGAGAACCTTCGTGGTACCCTTTGTAGGCAGGGGCATCTGCATCCTCAGTTAAGGAGGAGTGGGCACCCTTTTCCCAAGGCTTTTCCCACTCTACCAGCCAAACTCACAGGAAGATCCTGGGCCCGATCCAAGTAGACAACAAGGATGGCAGCTGATGGGGGCTCTGGTCGAGAAGTGATGCCCCGATTCCACTGTAGGACCTGGGAGGAGAGCACCGTGGTCACACCTCATCCTCCTGTCCCCAAATGTCACCCCTGTCTGTCTTCTGGTTCCTGAGCAGCTTACCTGATCCAGTTTCTCTGCGTCTGACAAAAGTGATAGCCATTCTAGCCTCAGATGAACTTGGCCCTGCCCACCTTGTAGCGGGTACCACTGAGGGAAGGAAGTGAGGGAAGTGAGAAGTAGAGATGGGTCAGCGACCCAACCGTTTGCCACCGCGATAGCAGCTATCAGTTGCCCATAGGGTGAGGTCACTCCCACATCCTCTTCTCCCAACTTACGTCGTCCAGGACTCCAGCCCGTAGTACCTTCCCTACATCCAACTTCATTCTGGGGGGGGGGG